GTTAGCAGGTGATGGATTCATCGCTCGGAGTGGCTGCTGTGTGCGCTCCCGTGTTTCAATATTTCCTTAATTCTTGTGCTTTCGGAGCATTTGGAGAACACAGAAGTCTTAGGCTGTGATGAAAACTGGCCCACCCCTAAATCCCAAGACTGTGGAAACAAGCCGAGACAGCTTAGCTGCAAAATGAGGTGACTAGGAGAGATTTATCTTACTGCAAATACCAGGGCACACCTGCAGCTACACAAGAGCCAGTCGCTCGGCCTTCCTCTCCAAGCTGAGGATGTGCCCTATAGGTGCCTTTATAGGGCTGAAAGCAGAGGTAGAAGGACCTGACTCATTTAACTCATTTAATTTTTTTTAAGCGCGTTATCTATTTGGGATATTAAAGCCGTCAAGGTAATGTGCCCTGGGAGCCTGTGGGTATGTGATAGATGATATCAGGTATGTGCTGTGTGATCTAAAGCAAGGGAAAAAGGGGAAAATGCTCCAGTCCTGAGCAAAACAGAAAAGAGAAAAGGAACAGCTTGCCAAGAGGAAAGTGCTGTGTGTGTGTCCATGCTAACTAGCCTCCAGCCCCTCCTTTCGCATTGTCACCACAGTGCTAAAAGGCATTTTTGTCTGGACGTGAGCGTTTTACACTTCATCTGCCACCAATTAAAAATAATAATAAAAATGGGAACAGTCGAATTGTAGAACCTTCTCGCATTTCTCCCTTTGTAAGACATAACCTCCTTGCAGCTGCAAATAGGTGAGCTGTCACCCCCAAAGCGAGTGCTTGGAAGGTCCCTGCCTCGCTCCTGGGCAGAGGTGCAGCAGCTCTTGCAAATGTAGAAAACACAGATGGTCCAGGTTACTTCTGACGGAGGCTAATGGGGTGACTAAGGAGGTGCCAAAAGTCTAATGTACACATGCAGACATCTTAAACCAATTCCAGCACATCATTCCAGACTGTTCTGTCCCAAAACGAGCCTTGCTTCTCAGGACCCAAAGTCCCAAAAGGAAGTCATTGCTCTCGGTGAGGTTCTCCCCTGTAGTGTGAGTTTTCTATAGGTGTAAAAATGTAACCGTGTAAATTATGCGTATTGTACTTACTCATTTTGACTTAAAAAGAAAAATGCGTGCATAGAGATCTAGGCACCATCATACTCTTTCATGCTCTTTTTTCATCCTGTTCTAACCCATTTTGCACAGGCAGAGGTTACTGGCATATTTGCGCATTTGCACTTTTGCAAATATTGCATATTTGCCTAGCAGAGAGCTGGAGGACCATTTGTGAGGATGCTTGGACCTGGATGTCCAGGAATAGAGTTTAAGGAGCTGGGTGTCTGCTCCTGCTTGGGGCTGTTAAACAGCATCTGCCGGTTTTTGAGGCTTTGTTTGAGCACGTAAGTAGAGCTTGCATAGAATATAGTTTTTGTGCTTACTTTCACCGTGGTGCCAAGTGTCGTTGAATTAGGATAAACCATAAGACTCAGCACTTAAAGGAAATAGCGGCCACATCCGTCACATGAACAAGCTCTCTGCCCCCATCCTGGCTTTTACTCTCCTTCTCTCCCTAATCCATGGACCTGCTTCCTTTCACACTCATGCCTGTATTACACCAAACTCACCCTTTAGACTTTAGTGCAGCACACCTAGATTTGTGCTATTATTTTTAGGAGGCGAATCAGGCTCAATTTCAGGAGCAGCTCATTTTAAAACATTTAAATAGATCAATATAAATAAATCTCCTGCAGTTGCTAATACCACCAAGTCAGAGGTGTTAAATTCAGATCCATCTTCCTTAAATTTCGAAGCATTTGGAGAGGGACTGTTTACAAGGGCATGGAGTGACAGGACAAGGGGGAATGGCTTTAAAGTAAAAGAGGATAGATTTAGATGAGATGTGAGGCAGAAATTCTTCCCTGTGAGGGTGCTGAGGCCCTGGCACAGGTTGCCCCAAGAAGCTGTGGCTGCCCCTGGCTCCCTGGCAGTGTTGAAGGCCAGGTTGGATGGGGCTTTGGGCAAGCTGGGCTAGTGGAGGGTGTCCCTGCCCATGGCAGGGGTTGGAACTAGATGGGCTTTGAGGTCCCTTCCAACCCAAACCATTATGTGATTCTATGATTCTATGATCTGAGTCTACCCTTATGGTTCAGGCTGTTTTATCTATAGGGCTATTAATGTCGAGGTAGAAAGAACTTGCGATGTTACACAAAACACCTTTAGTGATAACAAGGTTTTCTCTGCTCAGGGTAGAGACTAAATCATGTCCCTTGAGTCCTGTCTTAGCAGATGGAGTAAAGGTATTGCCTGTGACATTTTCAGTTTAAGACCCACATACTGTTTTAGGAGATGTGCAGATGCATACTGTCTCAGCGCAAACAGCACAGCCACAAACATGGAGCAAAGCGTTTGGAACTGAGAGCACTTTAGTTCTGGCTCTTGCAAGGAGATTCAGTTTAGATCCAAGCTGTGCGTTGCTAGCCTCTTGGAAAAGCTTTAACTGGTCTCTGCCAAAGTCCTGCAATGCAGTCCTGAATTCAACCCTTTCTTTTTTCTTTTTTTTTTTTTCTTCCTTCTTTTCCATTTCACAAGTGGCTGATTGATCACCAAGATCTTGGAGGGAAAGGGCAAGGCTGCTTCGTCCTCCATGCATGGATAATCTCATGACTGATAGGCTGACACTGTGGAGGGCCAAATGCTTTCTTCTGCCTTCCTACCTCCCCCTCTGCCCAGTGGGCAAGAAAAGCCTCACGTGGTGTCTCCAGACCCAAGGGCTGGAGAGACTTGCAATGAGCTCACCCACTTAGTCACTATACACTAAATGTTAAACTTGGGCAAAAATCACCTTTTCAGCCAGCCCTTCCTCATGCTAAGTCACTGCCAGCATATTGTCAAAAGTACCAGCACTGTGTACAAACCAGACAAAAGAGAATGGAAGAGACAAATTTCTTTTTCTGTATAGTGCAGAGCCAGTCCAATGGCTGCTCCTTGGTCTCTCATGGGTTGCAGTTCAAGAGTACTTTTACCTTCTCTTGTTTTCTCTTCTCTTGTTTTCTCTTCTCTTCTCTTCTCTTCTCTTCTCTTCTCTTCTCGTCTCGTCTCTTCTCTTCTCTTCTCTTCTCTTCTCTCCTCTCCTCTCCTCTCCTCTCCTCTCCTCTCCTCTCCTCTCCTCTGTTTTCTTTTCTTTTTGTTTAGTTTGTATTTTTTATATATATTAGATGGGGTCTGTTGTCTTATTCTCCAGCTCAGAGTAATCTTGAAGAGGAGGATCAAGAGCTCCTCAACCATCTGCTCTCTCCAAGGTCTGATCAACTGCATCCAGACCGTCTCTAACACATTTTTCTCACCTATTCTTAAAAGCGTTGGGCAATGGGGTTTCCAGTGCTCCATGTGTTCCTCCACTTGGAGCAACCATGGGCCTGGGAAATGTTCTCCAGCTTTTGACCTGAATCTTCCTTGTTACCATTCAAGCTGATTACTTTTTGTCACATCCTCAGTAGACATGACAAACAATTAATTATAATCTGTTTTCAGAGTGGCATCTGCCCATTTCCTTGTTTCCTCTCTTCTAAATCAACTAATTTCTTTTGGCTTTGCCTCTTAGGTCATGTTTTCTAAGCTCGTTATCCTTAATGTATCATTTTCATTGTTTTATCATTCTGAGGAATGATGTCCTTCACTGGACACTGTGTTCCATCAAAGGCTCACTAGTGGGTACTGCAGGAGAACGAGTCCTCTCTGCTCACCCACCATTCACTTTGCATCCTCATGTGATATGTTTTCTTGATATGACCTTCTTTTATATCATATAAATCATTCTTAAATGATATGTGGGCAGGACTTGAAAAAAATCAAATCTTTATCAGTGATTGCTTTTGCTGGAATTTTTCTACTGTTTCTCCCTCACTAGTTAAGTATCCCTTTCTCTGAAGGTCCATCTCAACAGAAGGTCCAACACCTCTCCAGAGGTAAGCCAGTAGAGCTTCCTGCTGCTCTCCATTTGAGTCTACGATAGCCTCACCGCAAAGCTCCCTCACCAACCCCCTGCTCTCAGCTCAGCCTGTGACCCAGGGGCACCCTTTTTTCAGTGCCACAAATGGGAGGCAGGTTGGTGTGTTTGCTCCATCGACTCAGGAGGCCTCTAGGCACAGGTGTCTGCTTCTCCTTTTTATTGAAAAATAACCCCCCAGCTTGTTAACTGCTGTGGGACCTGTGTGTATGTAGCTTATTTCATCTGGGTCCTGGTTAGGCAGGTGTCCACATCACAGAAACCTTCCCAGATGGTGCTTATGTTGACTCCCTCATTGGAAAAGCCAAGGACTCAGTAGGGGTGAAAACCGAACTGCTTTTTTACACTTTTAAATCAGCCCTTCCAGATGGTCCTAGGAACAGTAAAAGGTAGACGCAGGGGTCTCAGCTGTGCTCTGGGCTCTACACCATGTTCACAAAGGACAGTTCTCTGCCTGATGTAGCCAATATCTGGCAAGTCCTTACTGTTACCTTAACATGAGCTTTTAAAATAAGATAGAGATAAAAAGAAAAAAAAAAAAAAAAAAAAAAAAAAAAAAAAAAAAGAAGAAGAAGAAGAAGAAAGTAATTGCCAAAGAGCTCAGGACACAACCAGACAAAACAGTTGGTGGCTTTTAGTAGCTCCTAGTTCTGCTGGACAGGATGCATGGGCCGGTGTTTTTCCATAAGTCACAGCACAGTGAATGGGAAATAAAGTTACTCTGTTGTAAACAAGGAGCATAGAGCAGGTGGTAAGTATTGGAAAAATGTTGTTAAAATACAGGCTAATACTTATTTAGTTATTTTCTGTTCTTTACTTGATTTTCTTCAGCTAAAAGCTGTGATTTTCTTCTCATGAAGCCAAAAAAGTCAGGACAGTCTGACAAATTGACAATGCATTTTTCTCTGGGAAAAATCTAGGTGAAGACTTCAAGACTTGGTCTCTGCTTTATAGGATGATTCCTGCATCCCACTCCTCTGCTGAAGCTGTTGACTTCACTTCCTTTCAGGTACGACAGCTTTGGGCGCCTGACCAACGTGACCTTCCCTACTGGCCAAGTGAGCAGCTTCCGCAGTGACACTGACAGCTCCGTGCATGTCCAGGTGGAAACCTCCAGCAAGGATGATGTTACGATAACAACCAATTTGTCGGCATCGGGAGCCTTCTACACTCTGCTCCAAGGTGAGTTGGGCCACTGTCCTTCTCCCGGCCAAGCTGCATACAATGGATTATCCATCAGGAAACAGGCATCGTCTTGATAATCCCAGCACCAAAAATCAGCTGCATCCTCAGCACCGCAGAGCTCCCCACATGCTGGTACAGACGCACACTTACACCTACTTAGCCACATTCCCCAGCGCCATGGTTGCTCCGCAGCTGTTTTCTGCTTCATTCTCAGCCAGTCCCCTTGCTGTGCAGCCCTCGTGCAGTACAGTCCTCCATCATCATTACTATTATTGTTACAACAAAAAAAGGTTGCATAAATCTAGCTGCGCTTCCAGCTGACCCCTTTGCTTCGTTCTCTTAATGGCTTCTAACTTAACAGTTACTCTCCTGGAACAGGCTTCCAGCTGGTTGCTGGAGATCTCCCTGATTCTTTGTTCACTGGCTGTTCAAACATTCACAAGGCAGCATCCACAAAAATGACCATCCCTGTCCCCAAAAGGGCTGCATTTGAGCTAAAGGACTGGTGTGGAGAGGCACAAAAGAGGACGGGGAGGTGGTCGGCCAGGGTGGGACTGGTGGAACTGGTTTGAGGCTGTTGGAAATGAGCATAGTTCTGCTGGTGATGGTATGGTGTGGAAGTGGAGGATTGATGAGGTGAAGGAAAAGGTGATGAAGTGGGAAAGAAAAGAGGAATAAATAGCAGGGGAGCACTGTGCTGACATACTGATAGGGGCAGAAGCTGTATTGCACAAACCATGCCAACCTGGATCTCCAAGTCCTGAAGGCTGAAGCCTCCTTAGGGTCACGGTGAGCCATCACTCCTGCTCCCAGGGGCTTGCAGAAAGGGAAGGGACTTTCAGACTCTTTGCTTTCTCCACTTCCCAGCTCTCGTTCACTCTTAGTCTGTGCCTGATGGCAATGGGGTGTCAAAAGTCATCTCCCCTTGTGAGGAACAAAGTGCTCCAAGTGAGATCATGTTCCAGAGTCACATTTGTTCTCGTATCTCTGGGACACACATTTCGCTCCCCCTCCCTATAAAGAAAGTGCCTGCTATGCCTGAACACTGCCCTTCCTGCCTCTGGGGAGCGTGGCTGAGAGGGTGCCAGCCCCTTCCAGCCATACTCACAGTTCCTCTGGGGAACACAATGACTTTCTTATGCTTTACTTCAGCGTGCAAGTAAAGACCCAACCTACCCCGCCCCATCCCATCCACTCGCATTAAGACGTCTGGCAACTGCACAGACATGAGGTTGGCTTCACCTCAAGAGCCTAATTAAGCAATAGAACCCGCTGTTGGGGGTCCTTTAGTGAGATAATTGACTGTGATGTGATTTATACACCCAGAGCTGAAGGCACAGTTACATAATGGTGCCACGGTCGTTTATCTCATTGTACTGCCCTCCAGCACATGGGCACTCTTGCCATTAGGACATGCAGTATTACAAACAGCTTAACCATCTCCAGAAGTATAAAATTATGGAAACTGTTTGGATTTGAAGACACACCCTTATCTTGAAATAGAGATCTGGATAACATTGCAGCAGAGGTGGCCTGCTATCTGCTGAGGGTGGCTTTCCCACAGGCGTTAGGGACTGTGAGTTCCCAAACTGAGGTAGCTGTTTGTTCATGGCAGCGTCATAGAAACTGAAACAAGGGCCCCTGGAGTTGCCCGGGGATGTATTGAGCACAGATGAAATGTAATTTGCTTTCCAAATGCCTCTCCAGCGGATGGAGCTGGAGCAGTTCTCAAGGTCTATGACTGTCTTGCTCGTTCCGTTGTTCTGCAGGGAAAAATGCAAATTGCAGATCCCCTTCGCACGAGAGGCGCTCGCGCATTTTCCCTCTAGACTCACAGCTCTGGCCAGCTTTCACAAATCCTTGGTGAACCTTTCAAGAAACGTGGGTCACTCTGTGAACAGGTGAGGTCTGAGAAGGCATTTTCAGAAGGTTGCAGATTCCTGTAGGATGGGTTTAGGAGCCTCTGCAGCTAACAGGCACCTCAGGACCTCTGTGGGATTTTGTCCTCTGGATTAATGACAAAGTGAGCATTTGTTCAAAGCCAAAATAGGGCACTAGTGCCCCTAGAGCCGAAGCAGCATAAAATACAGCATCCAATGGCCCCTGGATTTCATGCCTTTGGGCATCCACCTGCTTTGACGTGGGGTCCTCCATGGGCTGCAGGTGGGTATCTCCTCCACCCTCATCCTCCATGGACTGCAGGGGAATCTCTGCTCTGGTGCCTGGAGCACCTCCTGCCCCTCCTTCTGCACTGACCTGGCTGTCTGCAGAGCTGTTCCTCTCACATCTCACTTGTCTCTACAGTTGCTCTTGGTGGTTTTTTTCCCCTTCTTAACTCTGTTATCCCAGAGGTGCTACCACCATCACTGATGGGCTTGGCCTTGGCCTTGGCCAGCGGCGGGTCCGCCGGCTTAGAACCGGGTGGCATTGGCTCTATAGACACAGGGGAAGCTTCTAGCAGCTTCTCACAGAAGCTACTCCTGTAGCCTCCCCACTACCAAAACTTTGTCACACAAACCCAATACACCAATGAATTTCAGAGATCTTCAAGCTTTTCCCTGCTTCCTGGTGAAGGATGAAGGAGGGAGGAATGTATTAGCTGTGCAGAGATTTTTCACTGATTTGATTTAAAGCGCATCTCCTACCACTTTGTCACCAAATCAAGCATCTAAGAACAAAAGTATGACAAAGAGCTGACTGTCCCCCTTCTCTCCATTTGCAGAATCAGGTGTGGACTGGGTTTGATCCTGCTGGAGTCTATGTCAAAAGACCATCAACTTAAGTACTCAGTGGTAGAGCTAAAACACTTGGATCTACACTGTGGATCACTGCTGTATGTTTATAATGACAAAATCCAGTGCCGCAGCAGTTTCACACCACCACTACTGTGTACAGTAAGTTGAGTTGTGGTCCTGCTGAGATCAGTGTGGCAAGACTCCAGCTGGCTACAACAGGAGCAGGATCAGACTCGCAATAAAAAAGACCAACTAGTGTCAGGTTTCTTTCCTAATTATACCAAGCCATGCTCTTCGCTGATCTATTTCATCCAGACGAGAGATGATAATTTTGCTGTGACC